GAGTCCCGCATCGGGCTCCCTGATCCTTGGAGCCTGCTTCTCCCTCTGCTCTCCCCCCACCTCTCTCTCATGAATAAAAAAAAAAAAATCTTTAAAAAAAAAAAAAAAAGAAAATGGTTGGACCAGAGGGTGAATACACAGTAATTGTGTTCAGGAGTCCCCAGAGTTCTTGACTTGTGGTATTGAAGAAAGGAGATTGTGATTAGTTATTCTTACCATTGTTATTATTCTTAGGAACTAGTCATTATGAAACATTTAACCAGAGTAGTACGGTTTTAATTATTATGAGATACAACATAAAATATTTAAATGTTAACTAGAAAAAGTTGAATGTTTCTTCCTTATCATAATTATATTTCAAAAGATAATTTAAAAAATTCTTTTTTTCCAGTTTTTGTGTGTTCAGATTTTTTATGAGCATTTTTCCTTTGCCCTGTGTGACAGGTTCTGTGGTACGGATTAGGAAGGTGAGGCTGAGAGCTTGCCCATCTTCCCTTCTATCATTAGGAAGGTCCCACCGTTTACTCTTCAGGCTCTGACTGTCGAGAGTTAATTTTGCGTAACTGATCAAGCGGGGGATTTCATGCATAGCCCCCTTTCTGTTTTTCCTTCTTCCTTTCCCCTCTTTGCATTTCCAATACTGCCTACTTATCAGTGTATTTAAAATGCACTTTTTAAATATATGTACCTGCTCGTGTATAGGTCATTGTCTTTCTTACATATAAATGTCCTGTGTTCCGCATACAGGCTGTGGTAACTTTGCTCTGAATTCTGTGATAGAATCCACCTGTGGTGGCCTATTTAGCCTATGCTTCTTGACTAGAGAGGCAGAGTCCCTTTTAAGGATTCTTCCTTTCCTTCCCTCCCTCCCTCCCTCTCTCTTTCTTTCTAGATTTATTTATTTATTTATTTGAGAGAGAGAGACAGAGAGAGAGAGTGCATGAGCTAGAGGGAGAGGGAGACAGACTCTGCTGAATGTGGAGCCCCATGCAGGGATTAGTCTCACAACCCCCAGATCATTTTTAGTGTATGTGCTGCCGAAGCGAGCACTCACAACCCCCAGATCATGACCTGAGCCAAAACCAAGAGTCAGATGCTTAACCAACTGAGCCACCCAGGTGCCCTGTGTTAAGGTTTCTACCGCGTGTAAGCGGTTAGTTCCTTGTATTATAAATGGTCAGCTACAGTATTTGAAGGAAAAATTGAGCCTTGTGTGAAATCTCTTTCCTTTCTGAGTTTAATTTCTTATTTTTCCCATCTTAGCTTTAAAAACCCATAATTAATTTCCCTATCCTGGCTTTGTTCTTCCCAGAGTGACACCCCTTTCCTCACAGAATGTGATGATTCATCACGGCCAGACCCAGGAATATGTGCTCAAGCCCAAGTACTTTGCAGCGCAGAAGGTGATTTCGGGAGAGCAGTCCACTGAAGGTTCGTTCCCTGCGAGATACGGGCAGGGTCAAGTCACGGCACCTTTTCAGTGTGAGTATAGTCTGGTCAATGATTTTTCTAAGTTACAGTATCATAGTTTGGAAATACTTTGGTTTAGATGGCTTTAATATGTTACAGGGGATAAAACTTAAGAGTCATTAAAAAAAAAACAACAACAACCCAAACACAACAAACCCACCCTCGTTCCCCAAACAACCAGACAGCGGCCCATTTTCTTTATTTTGAGAAAGGCAGTTTCCTTGGATGTTGGCAGAGAATCTGCAGTGACCTGCCTGTATTTCTGTTTCTGCAAGATGACTCCATTTCTGAGACATACTTGTTCTCCTTTTAGATACAGTTGTATGCCCGACCTGTTTACATTGACAAAATATTTTCTTTAGTAAGCTAGCCAGGATTCATGCCCTGTGAAATGTCTGAAATGCCCTGCATTACTCTCTGAGGTTCACCTCCAGCGGATATTTTTATGACATGAGGTCCACTTTATAGTCTATGGAGCAGATGGTGTGGCAGGTTTTCGTCTGAATTTGTAAAAAGCGATTGTATCCGAGGCCAGCTTGGTTACTATCTCACTATGTGGGAAGCTCAAGGACAAGCCCTGGCTCAAAGGGTGGGGAATGTGATGATTTGTGGTTTAGGTATTACAGAGTGTCTGCTTGCAGCATCTGGAGGAAACGTTCTGGAGCGAGGCGCAGACCATTCAGAGCTGAGAGCTAGACGCACGCCCTCCTTCCAGCAGCTTCCTGCTCCGTCTCACACTGACTGCCTGAGCCACAAGAAATAGAGGAGAATGCCAGTTGTTCCATTGAAAAGGAGTGTCTTTCACCACCAAAAACAGTGCAAAGAGCTGAGACAGAGTTTTTACAACTGTTGGGCCCTTCAGAAGTCTGTATCTGTGTGGGTTTCATTCCCTGGGCCCATCCCCACCTCCCTGCGTTGGTCACCATTCTAGAGTGATTGACTCTTCCCTTAGAATTGGTGACTTAACAAGAAGAGTATTTCGTGTAAGGTTTGCCCCTTGCATTTTTCATCTTTTGAGAAAATTCTGCTCAGTGACCTGAGGCTGGATTCCCCAGAGCAATAGTGCGGTGAGGTTCATAGGGCCCATGAGGACGCAAGCTCTGGGGATTTTCAAGAGGGAAGAACGGAGAAATCCCATAGATTATCTCCTTGTCTTTTTGGTGAGATACTTTCAAGTTATTTGCATAACGATAGAGGTGTCCATCTTGTTTTTAAAGACCCTTTGGTGTAAGTGCTTCATAACCTGTTCTTTGTGAATATCCCTGAATATATAGTATTTTTCTAATCTTAATTTAAGAAATAACCCCGAAGAGGTATACTTATTATTTCTTTGGGTTTTTATATATAGATCAGGGATTTCGTAGAATCTTTCCAGAATTAGAATGTGATGGGAGGAAAGTTTTTGGAAGCTTTTAATCTTACTGATAAGGGAGAGAATTTTGAACTCTATGGAAGTGTCAGGAAAAGGTGGTCTGAGAATCAGTGGTTGAGACTAGAGACGGGACTGGTTTGGGTTTGTCGATGATTCGTTATTAGAATGACTGATCCCACGATGTGTGTGTATTTTAAACTCTCAGACCTTTGTTGAAGTGTCTTCTAGAAGATGAAATTATATTTTAGAAAAACAGGAAGAGAAGTTTATCTGTATTGTCCATAAATTTCCCAACCTTTCTGTTTAAATGTAGTTTTTCCATAGCTGGGAGCTAGTAAAATAATTCAGACTAACACATAATCACAGTGATGGGGTTCTCTGCTCAAAGTCCCCAGGAGTTAGTGGCTGTTCAAAAAAAAAAAAGGCCCAGGAACTAACTGAAATAGGCATATAGAAACGCCGGGAAAGGCAATGTGGCTATTTTTTGCTGAGCCTGGAACTCTGTTGAGAGCTGGAAGGCTAATGGGAAAGTTTTAAAAAGAGGTAATTTGGCAGGACCATGAGAATATGGAAATAGCAAAATTGAGTAAGAACAACAATAGAAAGATTAAAACTAGAAAGGAACAACGAGTAATACTAAGAACCTAAAAGTAATGTCTCCCCACATCAGCTTCACATTAGGTGAAAGGAGCCCCCAAGGACACCTTACATGTAACAGAAAGGAAGGGAACATTAGTAAAGAAGTGTGAGGAAAAGCAGGAACTTTTAGTGTCTTTCATTTCATCTTTATAGAAGAGATCAAACGTAAACAGGTGAACCTCTCGTTTTGCTGAAGACTTTTAAGGTCCAATTTTAGGAGTAGCTAATTCTGACTCACGAGAAAAACAGAAGCTATTACCAGCAGGTAGGGATAATATGTCTTGGAAAGAGACTTAGCGACCAGCGTCATAACAGTCCACTGCCGTTACTTTTGGGAAACTTTGGCGACTAGAGAAAACACTGAGGTTGGCAAAAGACAAGTGTTGTTTTCCCTGTTGAATTGGGATAAAAAAGGTGGTCTACTGTAATGAATGTAGGTTTATTTATTTATTTATTTTTTAAAGATTTTATTTATTTGACAGAGAGAGAGAGCACAAGTAGGCAGAACAGCAGGGAGAGGGAGAGGAAGAAGCAGGCTCTCCACCGAGCAGGGAGCCTGATGTGGGGCTCGATCCCAGGACCCTGGGATCATGACCTGAGCCGAAGGCAGCCGCTTAACGACTGAGCCACCCAGGCGCCCAATGAATGTAGCTTTAATAGTATCATGCAAACAGCATCCATGGTGCTTACTTAGAGCTCTAAGCATCATGTAAATTAGTCACCTTATAATAGGGGAGCCAGAGCCCTACAAGCCTAGTGAATAAGGATTTGCTGTTGACGCCTGGTAGGTCAAGAGAGAAATGGTCAGATGAAGCAGGAAAAGGATGACCGTGGTGGGCGCAAGGTATGATGGGTTCAGTAAAGCAAAGTGTGTTAATATGTTATGTCTAGCACTCTTTAGATAAAGCAAAATAGATAGGGAGAAACAAACTATCACGTTGCTAGGGAGGTGTTCTCTGCTGCGAAGAATGAACATTTTATTAGGATTTCCCAGAGTTTTGATGACCTGACGCGTCATCCCTTACCACTGTGCACATACTGCTTTTCCTGTCTTGGTTCTATGCTTTACCATCCTTCTGAGTCACTTCCCAGGTTGCTTGACATCCTGTGTTGGGTGTTTGCTGCTTACTGGCTGTCTCTAGCATAGTGGTGCTATGCTTTATTCATTGGTCTTAAGAGAATTTAATTTGCACGACTATCAGCTACAGCAGGGGTCTGTAAACTTTCTCTTAAAGGATCTGATAGTAAATACTGCAGGCTTGGAATTGTGAGGATGTTACATATAGGTTCTTACATAACTGTTGAAAATGTGACAATTTAAAAATGTGAAAATCATTCTTAGCTGGCAGGTTGTAAAAAAAAAAAAAAAAATTGAGTGGCTGGCTAGATTAGTCTCATGGGTGGTCAAGTTAGCCAGGTGCTGATCTAATGCCTTAGTCTCTCGGTATATGAAAAACATCTAGAGTTTAGACCTGTAGGTACCTAGATCATAGCCATTGAATTAAAAGCTGTCCAAGAGGCCCTGCCTATAACCAGCTGTCTTTCATTGTCACTGTCCCTGGCAACCTTCCCTCCTCACCATCATGTTCAGATAAATCTCCACTAGTTTGAAGGCAGCCAGAAAAATACAAACTACTAGAAGACCACTCTAGTCTGATATGTCTAGTTTCCTTTACTGTTAGAGTGACAAGCCACACAGCAATTGGGAAAATAATGGATGTTACTCCCGGTTGTTTAAGGAAAGACTTTTAATATTGACAGAAATAACATTTTTATTGGATGAACCAGTAACTGCCATCTGGCTAGACTGAATCACATTAAGCTATCACCTGAAGTCCTCCAAAAGTTAAACATAGTTGTTATATGACCCAGCGTTTCCACTTCTAGGTATATATCCAAGAGAATTGAAAACATATGTTCATACAAAAACTTGCATACAAATGTTCATAGCAGCATTATTCATAACAGCCAAAAAGTGAGAACAACCAAAGTGTCTCTCCTCTGATGAATACATAAACAAAATATGGTGTATCTTACAAGGGGGGTTGTTCAGCCATAAAGAAGGAATGGAATATTGATACATGCCACAGTGTGAATGAACCTTGAAACCATGTGGAGTGAAGGAATCCAGACACGAAAGGATTCAGATCACATATAATTCCGTTATACGAAATGTCCAGAATAGGCAAATCCATACAGACAGAAAGTAGATCAGTGATTGCTAGGGGTTGAGGAGAAGGGGGAATGGGGAGTGATTGTTTATGAATAAGGAGTTTCTTTTGGGTTGATAAGTATTGTGGAATTAGATAGTCATGGTGGTTGTATGACCTGTGAACCTGTGAATATATTAAGGGCCCTGTTATTTTATTTATTTATTTATTTATTTAAAAAGATTTTATTTATTTATTTGAGACAGAGAGAATGAGAGACAGAGAGCATGAGAGGGAGGAGGGTCAGAGGGAGAAGCAGACTCCCTGCTGAGCAGGGAGCCCGATGCGGGACTAGATCCTGGGACTCCAGGATCATGACCTGAGCCAAAGGCAGTCGCTTAACCACCTGAGCCCCCAGGCGCCCAAGGGCCCTGTTATTTTAAAGAAAATGAAAGTACTTACAATTTTTTTTTTTTTTGCGCCACATAGGTAGTTACAAAAGACTTAGCATGACCTCCAGGAATGGAGCTCCTTGGGCTCTAAGTATGGTATGGGCTGAGGGGTCTGCTTTATCCAGTATCTTCCTTGGTAACTTCTAGGAAAAAATTGAGTATGTAAACCAAATTCTATTGTGTTTATTTTAGTATTTATAACCCAGAGGAAGAAAAGTTAAAGTGACTTGATAACATTTGAAAAATCATCTTATAAAAAACATTCGAGACTATTAGTATAACATACGCTCAGGAACAAACCCAAATAATTCATGCAAAAAGAGATTCGTTTGGCATACCTCGCTAGAAAAAGACCTTGAAGGTAATTAATGAGTATCCACACCAGGCTATCCGCTGTTG